GGGGGGGGGGGGGGGGGCGGGCGAGGGGGCACCCTGCAGAGAGGTCTGGCAGGAACGAATTAATGGTCTCCGTTGTCGTGTAGGGGACGTGCCCGGCCGGGGCCCCAGCTATGCCGGTGTTTTCCTCGACGCAACAGAAAGAAAAGGGGGTTCGGTCATGTTTGAGGGAGGTCACCCCACTGGTGGTGGGCCTCAGCTCATCGCGAGGCAGCTTGGCCGACGGACCGTCTAAGCCCCGAGGGGGCGGTCGTCAAAAGGCCGGACGGGGGGAGGGGGGGGGGGGGACGACAACAAATGAGCAACGCCACCCGAGAGAGCAGGAGGCAGTGTGTGCAGAGAGAAGGGCCATTGACCCGGTCCGAGTTGGAATGTCCCTGGCGCGCCCTGATGCGATATGCGTGTTCGCAAAGGTTGGCAAACTCATGGCCCAAGCAGTCTTCCACAGGCCGGCCTCGTCGCCCACCGGCAAGACTCCAGGCTGGCGCTCGAGTCAGGCATGCACACACACACACACACACACACACATCATACAGGGATACGCGCGCCTTCAGCCCTCCGGTTGGTGATCGTGAAGCAGAGCCCTCGCCCTCTCCGCTAGCGGGCGTCTCTCCCCCCTGAGACACCCCCGACCCCACGAGTGCCCCCCTTGTTCCCCGACCGCCCCTGAGTCTCGTCCCCAGAACAGCTCCGCACCCCCAAAGTCCCCCGGAGGGGCTTGGATCTCGGTGGTGGTCCTCCTCCCAGCGGAAGCGGATCTCGGCACACATTGCAGGGCTCTCCAGCGTCCTGGTCTCAGCCCCCCCCCCCCCGGCCCCTGCACCCTTCCAGCCAGACACCGCGTGTGACACACCGAGCCCCCTCTTACTCTGCTCTAGTTTTCCCACACCCACAGGGGTCGCCCCTCTGGCCGATCTCCTCCCGCCACTCCCCTTTGGCCTGGTAGTTCTCTTTCCGGCACCGGCCTACTCCTGTTGCCCGCCCCCATCAGGCTAGGTCCACAGACCGCCTCTCCTTCCCTCCTCCCCTCCCCTCCCTCCCTCCTCGCCCCACCACTCGCTGCCCGGTGTCAACTATTGTTCCCTGCTCTGTCACTTGGTGAAGGTCTCCAGCGGCTGAAGGCACTCGGTGTCCTTTTTCCATCGCGCGCACGCTCTCACGCGGGCGCGCAGTTCCCCTCCCTCCCTCGCCCCCCTCTCTCTCTCTCTCTCTCCCTCTCTGCCCCTCTCCCCCCTCCCCAGGACTCTCCCCTCCCTTCTTGTGGCCGGCAGCCCATCTCCTGCCCGCCCCCTCCAAGTCTCACACCACCATGCGATACAACTTCTCGGCCGATCCGGCCGAACTGATGGAGCAGTATGGACTCTCGCCTCAGATTATGGATGTGCGTCGCCTGCCTATGCTCGTCTTCGGCCCGATTCCTGCACTCTGTACCCCTGACCCTTATGCCCTACTATCCATCCATCCATCCACCCATCCATCCATCTCCCTCTATCTGCCTCTACAAAGCTGCTCATCTCGCACTTCTCCTTCTTCGATATGAACGACGATGGGGTGATTTCGCTGCAAGAGCTGGAGACCATGTACAACCAAGTGTCGCGAACTTATGCCAATCCTGCGCACCCCCTTTCGCCGGTCTTCAACTCTCCCAATCCCCCACCGCCCCCCTTGCCTACTGAGATGGATATCACCGCCCTTTTCTATGAGGCTGATACCAACCAGAGCGGCTTCATCGAGTTCGAGGATTTTACTCGGGTGCGTGTGTCCGCCACATCGTCCCGGCGTCCGTGCCCCGCCTTTTCCAGCAATCAAAGCTGACCATCTTCCGGTGTCGACCGCACACACACACACACACACACACCATGCGTGCCCATCCACATGCATAGCTTGTTCTTCGTGCCCGTATTGGCGGCCTCTCTCCCATTTGGGCCCGGCTGCTGGAGTTAACTGCTCCAGATGTGTCTTTCCATTCGCCCCCTCCACCACAAGCAGCTCGATCCCGTAGCACCTCCCTCTTCAGGTGCGTGTCGATTGACCCCCCCCCCCCCCCCCG